ATATATATATACATTTCTTTTCTGTAGTATTCTCACCTCATCATAGTGCGAAGCCTTGTTATGGTGAGGAAGTTTGCATATATCTGAGAAGCTAAGATACATGTTCCAGGAGGGTCACCCATGGCAAACAGGTCTTAGCAGATGTACCAGTCGAAACGCACCACCAATATTAAAAAAAAATACATTTATTTGCCAGGCACTTGTACCCAAAGCAACATGCACTTGTGAAAGCAGGGTTGGTCAGTTCCTGGAGCAACTGGGGCTTAAGGGCCCAATGGTGAAAGCACTTTGCTAAACACTGGATTTGAAATGTTGACCATCTATTCACTGGTACAGCATCCTAACTTGCCGAGAGACACACCGCAGGCATAATATAAGACAACGGCGGAGGATCACGGTGGTGACAACAGCAATCAGAATTTCAAAACGTGTGGAGGAAGGCAATGGTCAACCAGGGGAAAACCTTGTGAACAGACACACCACTATGATGGTGACATGGTGGTGCACTCCTATGTCATAAGGTGCTCCACAGGATTCTCTGCGGTACAGATGGTGTTTATGACATGGTTAGCACAAAGCTTTTGGGATGTCCAAAAGCTAATGTCGCCAGCCTGTGAAGCTGCAAAGAAAGGATCACTGATGGAATGGGGAACATGCCGAGCAGGTCTGAGCAGTGCTGGGTGTGGTGGAGATGGAAATCGATCAAATGGGCATCTTCGGCATCAGCAAGCTAAAACGTTCAGTCAGGTGACCATCAGAGTTAGGGAAATTCACATCCAGAGAGTAAAAGTCCAGACCGGGATTTTGTTTCAACCAACCAGTTGAGCATGAAGAGTCACAGTCACAGAGTACTCAACTGGTTGGTTGAATCAAAATCCCAGTTTGGACTTTTACTCTCTGGACCTGAATTACCCAATTCTGGTGACCACATTTAATACTAAGAAAACTGGCAAAATAAGAAATCATATGGCTTTCATTTTTAGAAAGGGCACTGAAAAGGTTGAAACTTGAGACAAGGCCGTGAACAACCAACCACACCACAATACTTGAATGACAGGTTCAGAAAGTCTTTATGCCTGTACTTTTACTTCTAGGTACAGCTGGACTTCATGAAAAGCCCTGCCTCGCTCTCAGATACACAGACACGTATTTAAGGAGCTAGCTGAGTGTTAATATAGGCGTATTGTTTGCTAAATTACACAGTACATTTAAACTGACAATTTTAAGCTGTATACTATTCAAGGTGCCTGAAATTGCATGCTAATCCGGAGTTTCTGTGCTTGCGGTGGGAGTTGTGTGTGGCTTGGTGGGTTAGAGGCCTCTGTGCCTCTGAAGGGAATATCCAGTTCTCTGCTCAACAGATGCTAGAGCAAGGCCCAAAGCAACCAAAGCTTCCTATTCCCCTCTATATGCGTGTCTTACAGACGAGCGGGATGGGATATGCAAAGACACCTTTCTCTGTACTTGTACAAATGGCAAATAAAAGCTGCAGGCTGTTTCTTATGGCCCACCTGTCAGGTCAGTGACCTCGCGGCCGGACACCTCCCTCGATGTTCCCCCCTCGCATTCTGCCCCCACCCTCCCAAATACTTTAGCAATAGCAATGCCTGGGCATGGTTAGCGTTCTTCTCTGGTGGCTCCTAGCATTATAGCAGTGAATGTTTCAGCTACAATACTCAGGCATTGTCGTTAAATGTGTCAGCCTTTTTTTTAAAGTCCTGTCCTCGAAGCCACGTGTGTTTTTGGGTCAAACATAGCAGTTGCTTTTGTGAGCTACACTGTCAGCAAGGTTTCTCCCCAGAGGCTAACTGGCCTCTCTAATTGCCGGTAGTGAGAGCATGTGAGTCGTGATGGACTGGCCTCCCATCCGGCGAGTCCCCCAAGCTTGTGCCGATAGACTCCGCCCCCAACCCCGTACCGGATAAGCGGCAGGAATGGATTGTGTCTGGCTGCTCCTTCCTTAGTGTTTGATTGTTATCCTGCTTATTTTTTCCTAGAAAAAGTCACCATACCTGTTGAAACCGCATCATCCGGCACCGGAGATCAGTGACGATGACAAATAAAAACACGGGTGCGAGTCAGACGTGTAAAAGAGTGCCTTTCTTGCGTTTCGTTTCTTCGTTTATTTCTGCATGTGCACACAATTATATACAGGTAGGAAGGGGCCGGTCAATAATTCACGTAAACGTAACTCACGTTTCAGCAACACTTTACAAGCACACAAGCAAAGGGGTCCAAATCCCACAACAGTCATACCACAGTTTCACTATCGTAAAATTAGCCTGTTTGTCGGCTCGAGAATCAAGACTGAAGACTGAATATCTGTTCGACAGGGAATAATACTGTGTGCAGGTTATAATTGGGGCTCACTGGTGACAATCCGTAAAACCCATTCAGCAGCTAGTTACTGTTGACTTCTGTGTGGCATCCTGACAAAAACACCTTTGATGTTCAGCATCTACAAAGGTGGATGACAGACGCGGTAAAAAAAAAAAAAGATCTCCATGAATATAATGTAAAATATTGCAATATTGTAAAAATGTAACTGCGGGTAACACTTTGTGCTATGTTTTAATTTCAAACAAATAACCAAAGAACCAAGTCTTGGACAGTTAAATGGGGATCTATCTAAACAGAAGGAATATCCCAAGAAATAGCAGCAGGCAGGGGAGGGGTCTCACAGCAGGGGGGACTGAGTGCTGGGGGGGGGGGTGTATCTCGGTAAATTGTTGCAAATTTTGCGTGATCATCTTGGGCTTTGGTGTCAGCCACTTTGGGGTGTAGCTTAGTAAATTTTGCAGTGGGCCCCCTGCTATGACGGACCCGGGGCCAGATGCTATTCCACCCCACCCCCTCCACTACTGTACAAATAGAAATGTTTTTTTGTACAAGCGGACCAGCATTTACCCAGCTGTTTTCACCCTGATACTCATTCATTACAAACTACTCCTTCAATTCCGTTAGCAGAAGCTGCAGGCCTGCTCCCTGCCCCCCAGCAGCCACGTCGATGCTGTTTCCATTCACATACATTTATTCGACAACTGCATTAAATCTGCAAAAACCTTTTCCCCAAAATATACTTGTAGATATTTCTACAATTTTAAAACAAATCACACAATGTAACACTGTAGGGAATCATTTCATGAATAAATACAAATGACAAAAATAAAAACAATACATCCCCTTTCTTTCATTTCAGGAGAACTGTTGATATAAATATACAAAAAGAACAGAAGCCTTTAGCCTGTCTCACAATAATTTTAGACGAGACAAACACACAAAAAGTGCCATGCGTGTTTTACTTTCTCAGGTCCAGGTCCGGCCTACGACAGGCAACATCGACAATCGCCTGGAGCGCCATATGATTAGGGGACGCAAAAAAGAGGAAAAAATCAGAAGAAATTCCTCTGGTCGCATTCCATGACATCATAGTTATTTACATTAGTTCTAATATTTCACTATGTTTCTTGTGAAAGAGCTAGCTAGCCAGATATCCTGTACTACTGACATGTTTTAAGATAAATAAACTGACAAATCTATGGAATTTTTTTGCTGCTCTTTGGGACGGGCAATCAGCAGAATCTCCTAGGGCACCAAAACAGTCAGGGCCGGCCCTGTGCACGTCAATTAATGCCAAAGTCTGTAGGACAGATCACGAAAAGAACAATACATGACAACACAACGGGGAGCTTGTGAAGCTCCGCCAAGGTAAGCGTGCCGTCCCTCTCACGGCGCCCATCAATTGCCTTTCGTTTATCTCTCTCGTGGCGCTTTGCACAAAAGCGTCCACTAAATGAATAAATGCGAAATAAATTAAAGCACGATTAGAGCCCTCACTAATATAAGGATTCTGTGGAACGTTCAGGAACATATTGCAGCACATCCTGTAATTAGGAACAAGCAATATTAATGGATTTCAGAAGCAAAAAGTCACGTTAAAGCCTCCCACTGAATACTCTAGCACATCAATTCCAATTAAAAATGTACTGGTCAGGCCGTCCGTGTTAATGTTTCATTATAGAAGGCCCTATACGGACATAGTCTTGGAACCATATAAATTTGTAATTGCATCATGAAAATATCATATATTAATACATAAAAAGAAGCAAACTTAACTCTGACTTAACTTAAGCATCAGCTCTGGTGACTCAAACATTTACAAACTGGGAATACTGGGAAAAATAGAAGGAGAAGCGAGAGGGAGGGTGAGCAGGCAGCTTTAAGATCCATGTTCAGCTCTCATGATTTTCCATGATGACAAACAATTCAATGCAATCAGTCTATAGAAATAAATACATAGGCGATCACCCAAAATGCTCGAGAGACGTTTTTCTGTAATGTGCTATTTGCCTCGATTGTATATCACTGTGGACAAAAACATCTGCTAAATAAAATCAATGTAATAAGTGTTACCCTCAATGTGACAGGATGAAACATTGTTCAATGACGATAAAAAAAAATACTCCTATGACCCTGACTGGGATTATTGGTTAAAATATGGATGGATGGATGGATGGATGGATTTGAAAATATGTACAGTGAATGAGGTCTCACAATACAGCAGAAATGTGAAAAATCATTCACCCATTTGTCCTCCCACCCCCAAATAAAGACAAGGTTGCCAGCTCATGCTTATCAGACTTACGGATTGTTCCATAATAAACCTGAAGTTAGCTGCATGAAAAGCTTTGGGGCAGTTTGCAAACCCTACAGATTACTTACAAGGTAATTAAACTACTACATATTACATGTAAATGCATGTGCAGGCTTGTCTCCAATTTAAAATCTCACGACAGCCAGCTGACCAAAGTTGGCAACCCTGTAAAGAGGACACATCAGAAGAATAATGACACATTTCTGAAGATGAAGCAGGAACATCAAAGGTATCTTAAAGTATCCAAAAGGTAAAATGCTGTCTGGAAAAAGAAACATTTCAGACTCTCCTTTAAATGTAAACATACTTGCAAGTGAAATAAAGTAAGAACTTTACTCAATGAAAATCCATAGCAGGTAGAGAGTATTTACATTGCAGACATAGTATTTTATGTGACACTGTGGTCAAATAAAAGGTCCATGGGTAAGTTTTGTGCTTGTGCGTCAAATAAGAATTCATCTTATTGACAGTCAACCAATAGGAAACCCTCTTATATGCTAGGTCAAGATTGCGAGGGTTACCTGGGGGCTTTGGGGCTGTGACCCAGTGTGACTGAGCCATCCCAAAGGAGAAAGGGAATTTCAGAGAGACACACTAGATCCCAGAGTACATGATAGGAGTACATCCTCTACAAGGATTATGAGTGTCATTTCATGACGTCAAGATAGGATGCTTATGATATGTCTCAATAGCTGTTATCAGCCTGAGTTGAGTGCACTATTTGTCAACCCAGAAGTCCGTCATTTTCCTTTTAAGAAACACCGACCTGGCGCCCACCATGAAGGTCCACATTGTGCCTATAGCTGGAAGCACTGCTAATTTATAAAAATAAAAATATCTTCACGTCACTACGTCATGGACCATGGCAGTCCTGTCCCCAAGTCTGAGAACATTTCCAGAGACAACCAGCTTGGGTCATCGCTCTGGAAAATCTCTATCTTATGTAGGACTGGCATTGGTGGCTGCATTTACATAAATAGCTAGTAACTCAGAAGCTTTGCATCGTATATATTAACACATTTGTTATTTAGCTATTTATGCAAATGCCCTTTGGTTTAATGACGCTCTTTTCATCCCTTGACACACTTGCATTTGCCGAAAGTGCATGGTTAAGAGAACCTGGAGACCCCTGTCACATGGTCGCCTTGCAGGTCTGTCGTAAACATCTCCCCCATCTACAATTGGGTTCTGTGGAGCAGATTGTTTTGTATGTAGTATGGACGGATCTCTGCTCTTGGGAGGCATGAACTTCACACTCTCGCGTTTGACATGGTCGTTCTGTACACAGAGACACCTGCAAGATCGCGTCACTGGCGATCAGAGAAGGACAATGGTCACGGCAGAGATATGGGAGGGTCTTACAGGTCCTGGGGGGTCACATGAAGTGCTTCTTGCGTCAGTACAGAGCTTTTTGCCCTTGGCTTTCGAATTCTGACCAGGCGTCATTGAGCTCCATGAAGATCATCTTGGCATATTGTTCATAAGGCTGTCCGGTGGCCTGGGGATGAAAGCGCAGGAAAAATTACTGCCTCACCATCTAAGAACAATAAGGAAAGTATCCTGGGGTATGAGGACCCAGCCTTGGGTGTGTCTATGACAAGTCTTTTAGTCAAAGTTCTGATAACCTTGATGTGCCGTATCAGTCTGGACCAGCTAACAAGGTCACTTGCATCTATCGATTGTAAACACTTATCTCAAACGTGTAGTGGACATCAGGTGATCATGCAGGCTTCCTCTTTTCTGAGTGCTTACAGCACCGTATGTGTTAATCTACTTGGTTCAGAGCATAATACCATGTAGTGGACATGATGTATCAAGATAATAGGTGCAGGAATCTCAGAGGCATTTGATGTTTCTGGCAAAATTCTGTCTCTCTCCTCTTAGCATCTGATATTTTTAATACTTTATCTTTGAACCCTCTCAATGAACTGTCTCAGAAAATTGACTATAGGTGAGTGAATTCTTCCACAATACCATTAAAACCAGAACCTGCAGTTTTGTATCAACATACTGTGTGTGGTCCCAGTTAAGGATCTCATCAGGACTCACTTTGTCTGGATGGACCACCAGCACGGCCTTGCGGTAGACCTTCTTGACCTGCTCTGGGGTGACCAGGTCGGCCATGCCCACGGACCGCCACCGGCTCTCTCCCTCCCACAGGACCGTGTGCATGGTGGACAGCAGGGCGCGGATGTTCCTCTCCTTGCCCTCAATCCAGTCCAGGATCTGGAGAAGACACAGGTCCACAATCCATAAATCACATGTGAGCATATACTGTGCTGTGCTGCGCTAAGGTCTTAGGAAACCAAAGAAAATGATGTTCACATGACCTTCGTGTTGGTGTGAAACTATGACATTATACCTGTCAAAGTGTGTCAGCTCAGCCATTTCAAACCCTCTGCTAAAATCACCCCGTTATTTTCAGCAACGATTCAACACACCCATGTGTTTTTTGACTCGACCACTAGCTCACCTCGTATAGCTAATCTGTATCTCAATGACTTATTTAACTAAGTTAATTAATTAAGTGAGTTGGTGGTGAAGTTTAATAAATGCATGTAACGGCTGAGGTGCCCCTGAGGAGAGGTTTGGACCTGAAGTGGTGTTCATCTAGCCATCCAGCAAGATATCAGTAACTTTCTGGTGAACAGAAGAAAATTGTACTAGATTGTACTGCGTTAGTACTCTTAATTTGTTCTAATGTTAAATGTGTTTTGTTCTGAGAAAATGTACATCTACTACCCAGATAAACATTTCTATTGACTGTCTAGGTTCTTTCACAGTACTGCCACATACTGGGGTCTGTAATCTTCAAAATTCCTAAGTCTGAACTTGTTTTGTATTTTGATCTCTTCTTGAACATGCATGGGAAGCAAACATATGAATATGATGATTATGTGTTAGATTTATCATACTGACGGGTGGAATGGTCAGACACTCACCTTTATCTTCTCAGGGTCCATCTCCTTCGCCATCTCCTCCTTCCTCATCTCCGCTATCGTTTTCGGGCCTCTCTTCTCACGGCTGCCGGTGAAACCTTGACCGGTGAGTAGATCGTCAAAGTTGGCATCCGTCATCTTCGGCTTCCCTGAGCGAAATAAAAACCAAAACCAGACTCGGTGAAGAACCAGAACATGACATGATATTTGAACAGTGTTACACATCTCTGGTCTTTTTCAGTTTCTGTTCCTTTCTGTTCCTTATTTGTTGTATATTTATTATACTGTTACTTTTTATGTCTTTATTACTTTCACTTTTTTTATTATAGAGAAGTTCACCACCTTGCATTTCACTGCAGGTTACAGCCTGACTGCATACCTTGCAGGGAAAAATAAAACACTTGAATCCTTGACTTAAGATAAATATGAGTTTAAAATCATAACCTGGTAATTTAGGTCATTAAATTATTCAACCTGACACATGCAGTGTGAGACTGATGATGAGTAACTGCAATAAAAATGTAACAGGGATTCCAAATTCTTTGTATTATGGAATGTGCAATGGGAAGATGTATTAATTAACAGTGTATACCAAGACATGTTCCAGAACTTTCTGTGGAATCCTCCTCCTGTTAGCCAGTGCTTTAGTCAGGACACGCTACAGAATAAATAGTGACACCAGTACATAGTCGATCTGGTAAATTCCGTTTCTCAGCCTGATGATTTAACAGACACATCCCCTTCTCCCGTTCCCCTTCTCCCGTTCCCCTTCTCCCGTTCCCCGCTCCTGCTCCTCCATGCCCATAACCACTCGGCGTGGCTGGTTTTCCGCAGAGCAGCACTCACCCACGCCAGCCGTCTGTTTCCCCGGAGAGGCCCCGCCCATTCCGGAGAAGCTCACGTTGTAATTGGGCCGGTTCTGCAGGGAGGAGTGGGTCGTCGGTGCCGGTTTGGCCTGCTGCTGGTACGGCGAGCGCGGTGAGCTTCCGCCCGGCTGCCTGGAGGGGAATGCAGGGCTGGACTGCCAGCCCCCAGCTGCCACGTGCTGGGGAGATGGCCGTCCTGGGGAGCCCGTGCCGGGGAAGGCCCCGCCGGACCCCGTGGGACTGGTGGGCTTACTGGAGAAGCCTGAGCCGCCTGTGGAGACATTGGGACAGTAGATATAAAGCTCACGATGACCCACTTCCAGATCAGTGTTGGACGCTCCTCAGAAATGGGTGCTCACCTCCTATACTGGCCCCGAGTGCCCCGAGGTCGCCAAAGGGGTCAAGCGTGTTGGGCTTGGCCTGATGAGTGGGCGTGTTGTGGGCCGACTCTGATGGACTGGTGCTAGCTGACTTGCTGCCCATCCCAAAGGCTCCTACACACACACGCAACAAGGTCTTAGAAGTCTGAAAGAACTACAACAAAGACCATAGGTATTCTTCAAGAGCAATATATCATCATATTTTACTCAAGTAAGTTTATTAAGATACAACCTTCGGTTCTCACTCATGACCTGAGTCATGTACAAAGGCTGGATTCTCAGTGATTACTGATACCTTTATGGCGCCCCTGCTGGTGGATTGAGGTAGTGTTACCTGGAGTAGCTGGCCTGTTCCATTCCCAATCCGCCATTGGGTTTGACTGTTGGATGTTGACAGTGGGGGTGTTGGGGGGCACAGGGGAGTTACAGCCTACAAGGGGGGGGGCGAGGATGGTCAGCTGGCTGGTGTTGAATGCCCCTCCATCCCCTCCCAATAAAGATGATCAAAATTTGCATGCTTAGAACAGATGCATGCTGGGTACCCATGCCCACGTTCTGCACCGTGACAGAAAGTGACTATACCACATGCAGGAATGGGTCCCATTACCCCCCCTTTACCTGGTCCCAGGAACATGCCTGTAAACTCTGTCTGTTTAGGGCTGGAATTGGTTCCAAATGGGTTGAAATCTGCCCAAGTGAAGATGGGGAAGAGTTATTTGCATGTTATTCTGAGAAGCTGGATCTCACACAGGTAGGGTTGGAGGAAGAAGGGGGGAGCACTTACTGTCAGAGAGGCGGGGCGAGGGGCTGGAGGAGGAAGCTGCTGATCGGCGTGGTGTGGAGTGGGCAGGGCTGGAGACAGAGGAGAGCTGGGGGGCCCCAAACAGGTCGCCCAGCAGATCAGCGTTGGTGGGGGCGCGTGGGGACACGCTGGCTGAGCTCTCCACATCTCCATCTAAACCCAGCAGATCCACGTCCTCTGAGGGGGGTGGAACGGCTGGGGGCGGGGCTTCGGCTTTCCTGGGCGTGGTCTGTGCACCCGCCTTCTCGTTAGAGGCACTGCTCTGCTGGCTGGACAAGGACAGCATCTCGTCGTCCGACGGTTCACTGTCGCCGTTGGCCGGGCCGGTCCGGCCATTCAGGCCGCCGCCGATCCGTCCAGGATCTGAGGAACGCAAAGAAACCCGGAAAAGCGGCTGAAACACGCCGCCACAAGTTGCCGTCAAAAATGCCAGCACGAGGTTGATGGTGAGCGTGCGAGCTAGACGACGCCTTTTCACCACAGTGTGAAATAACACATGCAGCACAGTCACCCAGCCTTCCCGAGCAGCGTCATAATGGGGGGGGGGCTGGCTGGAGCCTATCCCAGGCAGCATAAGGTACGAGGCCGGGGTACACGTTGTACAGGACCCACCCACTCAATCATACGCCATAGACTATTCAGAGTTGCCTGATAGCCTAACTGCCAATGCAACAGGGGGAAACATGCAAGCTCTGCTCACACAGAGGCGGAGGGGTTCAAAGCCCCCATGCTGGAGGTGTGAGGGAACAGCGCCACCTACTGGGCCACCACAGCACCGTACTGCTGCTGTATCCTGGATTTTACTGAATGGTGTCTCACCAAGGCCCTGTATTCTATGAGCGGTTACGGAAATCCATAATGGAAAATGGAAGCCCGTCCTGCAACATCTGTCCTCCCAGTCTCCTCACGCTTTGCTGCTTTGCCAAACCTCCACCCACTCCCCAGCCGTGGGACGGGCTTGGTGGGTGTCAGCTCGCCCGGCACCACTTATACGCGGACCCAGAAGCTACCCCCCTCCCACATCCCCCTCCCCCAGGCTACCTAGCAGAATAGCATAATATGTACCTCCTTGCTGAAGACTCCAGGGCTAAAAATGCACCGAGGTCCTCATCCTGCCCGGCCACCTGAGGGAAACTAGGATGCCCCCTACTGGCTGGTTAACGCTAATTCACGCAGATTAAAATCCAGCCATCCAGCCATCTAGTGGGTCGCACCCAGTGCCCCAAGGCAGCTGACAGAGAGTGCGGCCTGTTTTCACACAGCTACACTAGGGGGCATCTTTCCTTACGCCTCAACTTCCATATGCACCTCCCCCCCCACTCTGGTTCAGACAAAATCAAGCGGGTTATAATTAACTAAGTGATCCTGAGAATGACCATTAATCCCTGGCTCAGAGTGAGTGAGCAGGTTCGCTCCAGAATCTGCAGTCTGCAGTCTAGGACAGATGCTCCATCTGAATCACTTTAAATGGAAAAGTCTGCTTACATTTACAGTTTTAAGTACTTAGAATGATCAGCGTGTAACCACCATCTAAATCATGTCCAAATCTATATCATTTAATGTCCATTGAAAATGTGCCGAAAATCTATATCAAGAATGAGTCTGGCATCAATTGCCCTTTGCTATAATGGTCCTCAGCGCTTTCCCAGGACGCCCCAGGCTCCGGCAGGTCGACTCCTCAGGCTGACTTAAATACCATCTATTTACCTTCCTTAATGGTAATACTTTCTTTAAGGTATATCTGTGGCCGTATGTATGTTTTCATAAAAACAAAAAGCAAAAACCCATAACTTCATGTGCATGTGTCTTAAAACCACTAATGTAAATTTACAAGGAGTAATGTCAAGAGAATCGGCAAACGTGTTGTTAAAAGCCCAGGTTTATAGACTAAAACAGTAACAGTTAATGGATGTGAGATAACAGCTGATTGTGATAGATTATACTTCCGCTTAAAAAGGTATATTTCATTATGGTATGTACACACTTAGCAGAACCTCAGCTGGTATCATTATAATTCAAACAGGTCTGTATAAGTAACCTACTTATACAGAGTGTGTGTGTAACTTGGGTGTTAACTTGAACGAAAGAATGGCATTGAGATAACTGGCTTCATTGTTTCTTCTCATGCAGGGGTGTGATGTACAAACCCCCCCCCCCCCCCAGACTGCACCTGCTTGGGCCAGTGTGTCCTGCTGCTCTTGGTGGCCGGAGAAGAGCAAGCTGGGGCTCAGGTCTTTGCTGGGGAAGTGCTCCCAGGGAGGGGTGAGGTCCTTCTGTTTGTCTGTGCTCTCCACCTCTATGTCCAGCGTTACATGGAAAAGCTGGGGGTATTTCTCAGGGGAATCACAGGCGTCCAGCTCAGGCCTGAGCACACACACACACACACACACACACAGACACAGACACACACAGACACAGACACACACAG